TCCTCCTCCTCCTCCTCCTCCTCCTCCTGCGCTTAGCCTGAAGAGGACGGGTGCTGGAGGGAGGAGTCCTGAGGTTGTTGGCCGTGCTTCCCGTCCTCTGGGGCCCTCCGTGGGCCCCATCGTGGACGAGGAGCTGGTCCCGGGAAGCTCCCGGGTCTGGGGCCCGTTGCTCCCGGGGCCCGTTTCCTGCACGGCGGCCTGGCTGCGATCACCACTCCACGCCCAGATGGTTGCGTCTGCGAGCAGCCGACTCGCCCAACTGACCAGTCAAGACTGGCACCCTCCGATCCAGAGCAAAGATGGAGGCGGGACGAAGGAGCACAAGGGGGATTGAACGGGCCAGGCAGTCCACGCCCCACACCCTCCCTCTCCCCCGTCATGGCTCCCCATCCCCCCTCGCGTGTGGACGCGAAGGGGGCGGGGGGGGGGGGGGGGAAGTCGGCCACAGGCGAGAGCGACCCCGGGCACGAGTGGCCTCTGGAGCCCGACTGCCGGGGGCCGCGGGGAGGCCAAAAACGGAGCGCGCCGGCCGCTGCTCTCGCACCGCACTCCTCCTCCTTCTCCTCCTCCTCCTCCTCCTCCTCCTCCTCCTCCTCCGCCTCCTCCTCCTCCTCCTCCTCCTCCTCCGGGGGCCCCAGCGTGCCCGCACCAGAGGTCGCCCTGGCGAGCAGTCCCTCTTGCGCACGGCCGAGGAAGGGGGGGCGGGGGAGGGCGGGGGTAGGGACGGATGCGGCGACGACTGCACAAGTGGAAGCGCATGCTGGGTGCAGCTCTTCTGCGCGCGCTCGGCAGAGGGAGCCGCCCATTCCAAGGGGGAGCCTCCACTTCTGACCGAGGAAAGGGGGGCGGAGGGGGGGGGGGACAGCGGGGGAGTTGACGGATGCGGCGACGGCTGCGCAAGTGGAAGCGCACGGGAGGGGGGCGGCTTTTTCTGCGCGCTGTCGGCAGAGGGCCGCCCTCTCAAGGGGGAGTCGCCCGCCGCAGCTGCCACCTCTCAAAGGGGGACTCGGCGTCGAGGTCGATCTTGTGGCCTCCTCGCACGCAAACAGGGGGATAATCCAGGTACTTCTCAAAAGCCATGAGCACCGGCTGGAAGAAGTCCGCGTACGGGACCTGTACGAGCGGGGCCCAACCAAAACGGCGCGCTGCGGCTTCGCTTCGGATCACGAAGGAGGACGGAAGCAGTTCGACAAGTTGCTCACAACATCGCTACGGCATTGCATGCGTAGATCCGCCACCGTGCCTTCCCAGACCCCCGACTTCGCGATTGTTTCACAACGTCAACCCCCAGAGGTCTGGACACATTCCCCGGGACTGGTTTTTCATCCTGAGTCGTTTTATGGCGGTCCCGAGGCCTGGCGAAGGCACCCGGAGGGCAAAAATAACGAATCAACGCCCGTCGTGTTTTTTTTCAAAACGCGAGGGGGTCTGGGTTCAGCAAGAGGTGGAGTGCTCCGAGCCTCATGCAGCCCTGAAAAAAAATGCTATGTTTCTGGAGATTCCCAGAGATTCCTGGGGCTTCCTGGGGCGTGTCGCGAGCAACAGGCCCAAAAGGGCGCCGGAGGCGCCCTGGACGGCCCAGGAGGGGCCAAAGACAGCCCCCAAGAAGGGAACACGAACGGAAACTCCGAGTCTTCCGCCCCAAGAGGCCCCGAGGAGGTCCCGAGAAGACGGCAAGAAGCCGTCAAGAAGGCCTTAAGACGCCCCAAGAGGCCCCAAAACGGCTCCCAAGAGGCCTCCAGACGGACCCCGAGAGGCCCTCCTGAGAGGCCCCCCGCGACATCCCAACGAACATCCTAGACGCACTCGACACGGAACCCATCCCACCACCGATTGACCCACGGTGGGTCCCAGAGCGACACCTGAAGCAAAACGCAAACGGTCCACAACACGGCGCGTTAAGCAGGGGGGAAGGGCAGGGGGGGGAGAGGGAGAGGGGGGAGAGAGGAGAAGGGAAGAAAATGGAGGGGCAGGAGGAGGAGGAGGAGGCGGAGGCGGGGCAGGAAGTCTGGGAGGGGGGAAAGCAAGCTAGGAGGCGAGAAAGTACGATACGATACGATTCGCCCTTAGGATGGCGGGCAACACAGAACAGAACTACAAACGAGGGAGACTCGAGCATCCCGGCGTGCATCTCTCTCAAAAGCAGACCTGCAAGCTCTCGGAGACGCTTTAGGTCTGTTGAGCCTTCGGGGTCCCACCTAATGACGCGGCCCCGGCCAGTCCTAGCGGAAGGCGTGGAGAAGCGAGAGCTCGGGGAATCCCACGCAGGCCGAGTTCGGGACACCCGGCCAAAACCTGGGGCCGTCGTCAAACCGCGGGCCAGTCGCCCTGGTGACGCTGGAGATGGCTCCACCACCCGAGACATACTACAGCATGAATTCTAGTCCACTGGGTCCTGAGCACGTCCCTGGCCTGACGGGCTCCTCTCGCATTGTACACTTCAGCGGCCTCTTCGAGGCTCTTGCGGATCCTGCTCATCCAGCAGATTAGTCAAAACTGAAGGGCATATAATATCTTGGCAGCCTCGTTGCTGGGAAGCCACAAGGCACTCGAGACACTCGAGACACTCGAGACACTCGAGGCACTCGAAGCACTCGAGGCACTCGGGTTTCTGGCCCCTGGCAAAGATCGGAATGATGTTCATCAGGAATTTGGCGTTGAGGTCAAATCCACATCTCATGGACAGCTCGGTGTTCGTGATGTCTTTTTCGGCACTCACATTACAACAAATGATCGGCCTCAGGACTCGGAGAATCGGAACTATCCTCCACACTTAGTTGTCTGAGTCTCTGAACTCCGCCTCCGGAAACCAAGTGCTTGACTATGTGATTATCTTCCTACTTGGTTCTTTCAACACCAGGGGGTGCTGGCTCTTGAGTTGAGACTCCCACTCGGTCATCAATATGATAGTCTCAAGGTAGGCATTAGCAAAGGCGAAGACGTTGCCACTCCAAGCTGCAAGGCACAACCTTCGAGAACCCACGCAGATCTCCACCGACTGACTCAGCCACCTTTCGTGACACATCGCCGCTGTCCCCTAAGGATACTCTAACCAGCATGCATGCCGAGAAATGCAGGAGGAGCAGCAGCAGCAGCAGGAGGAGGCAGGGGGAGAAACGATCTCTGGAGACCTCTTGAAACAGAAGCCCCTGGAGATCTCCAGAGGCCGCTGGAAGCCTGAAAAGTAAACACGACCCAAACCTTCGACCCTCAATCCTCGCGAGCAGCAGCAGAACGAGGAGGTGGTCGGCACACCTGCCTGCAAGCGCTCGCATTGCATCCTCATGAAGCGGCTGATGCCGGGCGACGCGAAGGTGAAAACTACAAGGCTCTGAACCGCCTGCGCCGTCCCCACGATCTGGGCCACCTTCGCAGTCATCGTCGTCCTCCTCCTACTCCTCCTCTAACTCCTCTGACTTCTCCTCCTCATTGCTGAATCGTCCTCCTTCTCCTCCTCCTCCTCCTCCTCCTCCTTCTTTACATTCTCCTCATGGACCTCGTAATCCTTGCTGTTGGTGTCTTCTTATGACAAGTTCCTCCTCCTCATCCTCCTGCTCCTCTTTCACCTCCTCCTCCTCCTCCTCCTCCTCCACCTCCGCCTCCTCATCCTGTCCTTCTCCTCCTCCTCCTCCTCCTCCTCCTCCTCCTGCTCCTGCTCCTCCTCCTCCTCCTCCAGCTCTCCCCTCCTCCTCCTCCTCCTCCTCCTCCTCTCCAGTCCTCCTCCTCCAGTCCTCCTCCTCCTCCTCCTCCAGTCCTTCTCCTCCTCCTTCAATCCTCTAGTCCTCAGATCCTCCAATCCTCCCTCCAATTTTCCAATCCTCCAATCCTCCAATCCTCTTGTCCTCCAATCCTCCAATCCTCCAATCCACCAATCCTCCAATCCTCTTCCTTCTCCTCCTCCTCCTCCTCCTCCGGAGCCCTTCTCCGCCAGCGGTCTGTGCGCGGGGTCCAGGGCGCTTCGATGGTGCGGTATCGAAAGGGACACCGCCATCGAGAGCGCAGCATCAAGAACCCCATCAGGTGGCCCACGGCTTGCGCGGCCCAGTCATCGGAGGGCACCAACGTGTCTAAGGCCCTCTCCAGCCGTCCCTTGATCTCCTCTCTTTTTCTCCTTCTCCTCCTCCTGCTCCTCCTCCTGCTCCTCCTCCTCCTCCTCCTCCTCCTCCTCCTCCGCCTCGGACCCCAACAGCGGCAGCCGATTACTGCTGGGCGCACGGGGGTGCACATAACACGGGACGTGTCAGCTCTGTCAGTTGCAACGCCGAGATGCGAGGAGGCACGGGGAGCGAGAGCCAACATCCTCAACAATAGTGCGGGGATCTACTCTTGCGACATGCGGGATCTCTCCGGGACGGGCCTGGAAGCCAACGCCATCAGCTTCCATACGGCTATCAAGGAGGGCGAAGAAGGCGGGCACTGGGAGAAGAATCTGGAGCCACACGCCGTCAGCTACAACGCTGGTGGGCGTGGGTGTGCCAGCGCATGCGAGAAGGCGTAGCTCTGGGGGCAAACACTGGAGCTTGACGCCATCGGCTACGCTGCGAATGACAGCGCGTGTGAGAAGTAGGAGCTCTGGGGTGAAACACTGGAGCCCGAGCGCGCAAGAGGGAGCAAGGTGAGCAGTGGTGCACAGCGAGTGGCCTCGTGCGAAAAGTGGGAGGCGACGCCGGGGCCCGGAGTCGTCCTTGCCACACCCTCCCTCCATGCCAGCACGTGCGAGAGCGGGAGCTCCGGGAGGCGAGACGGGAGCCACACGCCATCAGCGGACTGGGTACATTTGTGTGGCGGGCTCTGGGAGGTGACCGAGGTCCAACGCCATCAGCTACATTACAGCGGCCAGCGCGTGCGAAAACCGCGCGAGCTGGGGGGCACGGAGGCGCCAGACGCCATCAGCCAAGCAGTGACACAGAGAAGGGCCTCTTGCGGGAAGTGGGAGGCGAAGCTGGAGCCCGAGCTTGAAACGTCGTTTCAGCTCTATTCTACAGTGTGGATGGGAAGGTGGAGCCCGATGCCATCTGCTACACTGCCAAAGCCAGTGCAAGCAAAAGAAAGCAGGGCGCAGTGGAATGCTTCGTGATTGCAGCACGGGGCAAAGCTGGAGCCCAATATCGTAAGCTATTCCACCGTACAAACGTGTGCGACAACGGCAGGCAGTGGCGGCAGGCTCTTGAGCTACTCAACAAGAGGTGGAAGGCGAAGCAAAAGCCCGACGCCATCAGTCACAGTGCTCAGCTGGAGCCCAAACGAGATGGCGACAACGCTAGACACAGCGCGTGGGAGACAAGCGAGCAGTGGAAGCAGGCGCTGTCGCTACTCAACAAGAGCAGGCAGGCGAAGATGGAGCCCAAAATCATCAGCTATCCGCCGACACACTGCGAGAAGTGGGAGTCGAAGGTGGGGCCCGAGCTGGTCAATAACAACGCTGGGGACAGCGTGTGCGACACGGACGAACTAAGGCAGCAGGCACAGCGTGTTAAGGCAAAAGGGCAGGCGGCGCGGACGTCATCCTGGAGCGCGTGTCTGCATTATCGGTGATAACGGGCGTTATGGGGGGGGGGGCAGGTGGGGGCATAACGTAACGCCAGCCCCCCGCCGTGCGGTTGTGGCAACACCTAGCGTCCGCACGCACGACGACGACTACGACGACGACGACGACGACGACGACGACGACGACGAACAGTCGAACAGAGCGAACGGTAGCGACCACGGTCGAACACGCCGAACGGTAGCGACGCTCAAAGCGCTCATCGCCCAAGATGCCCTTGGCGAAAGCCGCGAGAACCGCCGCCTCCTTCACGAGCTCCTGGAGCTGTCCTCATCCGACATGTCCCGCGACCGCAGGATCTTGATCACTGGCTCGTATCCGAACGCTTCGGGACAGTCCTGCCCGTTCTGGATCATCTTGCCCCAGAAGCCGCGCAGCCCACAATGGGTGATAGAGGACATGGTCCCAACAGTGCCTCTTATGAAGAGGCCCTGTTTGCTGTGGGGGCGTCTGCTGCCCCTCCTTCTCTCACTTGCGGACCTGCAGGGTCCGCCGCCGATGGGTGTTAGCGCTGCCGAGGCGCCGGTGCGCCGGCGAGCTGCGGCGGCGCGTCCAAGGCGGGGAGGCTGCCAATCCAGCCGCGTGTGGTTGCTGCGCGGGGGCACAGATTTGGGCCATCATGTCAACGGTGGCGCACATGAGCGCATGCAAGACAGCATGGGCAGCATGCGAATGAACAACAGATGCAACATGCTGAAGTGCGCTATCCGCGACTGCCTTCAATGCCAAGAGATGAACCCGCCTCGCAAATTCCTCTGTATACTCCTCAGCCTGCTTGCAGTCCTCTCCCCTGGCCTCCACGCGCTCATGACTTCCGTCGCACCTGCGTTCAAAGACACTTGGCAATACAACTCAATGACGAGGCAATGCTCCATGTTTTTTCCATATATTGCCCTTTCTTATTCTTTCATCCGTATGCGTTGCCATGGAGCTGAATCTTCATCATGTTGTGCTGATGTAAAAAATCTTTGACCTGTGAATCATGCCAGTAACGGCGCGGGGTCGGCCACTCGAGACATCTGGCACTTTCCCTCACTTACTTCTCGGGCCAATTCACGAGCTGCCCGAAACAATGTCCGAAAAAGTGTAATGTGACCCCTCAACGTCTCTAGTGTTTCTCATTGCCGGAGCGGTAGCACATGGCCTCGTTGACATACCGCCAAGGCGATCCGCCCGCACATGGTGTTTCCCGGCTGTCCGCGGCTACTCCTCGTTTCTTCAGCTCTTGCTCAAACTCTTCGATTTTGGCCACGGCAAACATTATGCCTTCTGAGGTGGTCATATCTTCTGCTTCTGTCAGTCTTACCACCACGCATTGTTCGTCGGGAATGTTACTCTGATCCCCTAGCCGACTGCTCGGCCCACAGCAAAATTCAATAAAGAGGCGTTGCCGGGATCTTTCGCTGGAACCTACTGCGGCATCAGGATCTGCATCGGTAGCATGGCTTACGCGTGCAGTCTCCTGTTCCTCAGTCGCCTCTGCTGGCGTTCCCGCTCGGTTACGGAACCGGGGGTTAGCAGGTGCCTCAGCAGAGAGCTTGCCCTCATTCTGTATGTTGGGCTTTTTTCTTGGCTTTCTTACTGGGAATCTCGCCGCCGGTCCGAAGTTTGGGCTTCATGCCAAGCTTCGGCTTGAGAACCCCCCCGGGTTTCAGTGGAAGTCCCGCGTCTCCTTCAAATTGCGAGTCCAAGTACTTCTGGCGCGTCGGGGCTGTCCAGAAAGTTGGGGCCACCACCTGCGCGACATAGAGCACATTTGTCAATGACGTGGGTTGCTCGAATCGTTTCGCGCCGACGTCGGCGGCCTGGTCGCGTGTCGGGCAATAGACCAGGTTAACAGTGCCTTTAGCAAACTGTTCCGCCACGGCCGACGCGCCCATTCGGCGAGCACGCGGCAGGTGCAAAGTTCCCGAGACCCGCCCGCTTTACAAACCTACACGACGGCCTGACTGTCCCCCATGAACTCTCCGCCCTCGGCGCGCGGCCGAGTAGCATCTCCCACAGGGGAAGCGCCGGCAGGAGCTCTCTTCTGAGCGCTTCATCTGCGGAGACGAGTTCCGCCTCCAACGCACCACGAGACACCGCCGTTTGTCTTCGGGAACTGCAGCTCTGTAGCGCTCTCGTGTTTTCCCCCCTCAGGAATTGCGCGTTCGAGCTGGTGCTGCGGCGCGTGCGGATGTCACTCGCCAAATCAGCGCCCGGCCGACCACGGCATCGATGCGCAGGCATTCGGCCAGGGCCTCTTCGGCAGGGGCCAGAATCTCACCCTGCGGGCCACCCTGGCCACCCTCGAATGACGACAGCTCAAGGCCGAAATGCGTGCCCGAGAGAGGATAGGTGTCTTGGTCGGCGTCCGTGAGTTCAGCGTATAGTGAAATGCAGGACTTGAAGAATTCCGCCATATCTTATTCCACGATGCGTACCTTCTTCTTAGGTCCTGGCGTATACCCAGGCGTCAGGACAGGCGGCGGCGGCGCCGGGGCCGCGCATCGCTCTAACCAAGTCCAGTCCTGGTCCGTGGGGCTCTGGGGCGCAAAGATAAGGACTTCGGCGTCTCGGTCAGTGAACATGAGGATTGTGACCGCGTTGCGTGTACCACCGGGGAGCGGAGCTCTAAAGCATTTTATGGCGGCAGCAGCAGAGCTGGCCACCATGCCTTCTTCGTATGCTGCGTTGTCAAGCTCCTCCCATGTGTCGTAGTCGAACGTTATTATGCGGGTGACCCTGCGCCCTTCAGGGCCGCCCAGCAAGATGCGTGGTACCTCGTAGCGTTGGCATCACATCTTACCCACACACACACTTTGCCCCTTCGGGACGTGGAA